GTGGTCTGTGCAGAACTGCGGAGGGAGCTTCCTGCTTCCCAGAATACTCCCAGTCTCTTTGCTCCACCCCTACTTCCTGTCTGGCTTTCCCGCCTATACTGCCTGCCTGGCCAATCAGCGTTTTATTAAAATATGATTGACAGAATACAGACAATTCTCCCACACCATGTCTTCACCACCAGGGTGAGCTCTTCAGCATTGCCCCCTCCCCCACTAATTCACTCTGGCAGCAATGAGGGAGGGGTAGGGCCAATTCTCCTGCTTTCATGCCCTCAGGGTCAGTTCTTCCATCTGTCTCAGGCCATTGATGCGCAAGAGGTGGGGTGGGGGGAGGGTATCCCTCCTCTGTCCATGCTGCTCCATATTGGATGAATAATGGTGACAGCTCTCTCTTGCTTCCAACATTGGGGTTGGGTCACCCACACCTCCCACAACAGGGCCAGCTCTGCTGCACTGCCTCCATGAGGAGTGTAGAAAGGAGACCCCTAGTATGTATCCCGGCTGCCCAGATAATCACACAGAAACTATATTAATTACAACACTGTTTGGCCAATGACTTAGGTGTGTTCCTAGCTAGCTCTTTTCTTAAATTAACCCATTTCTGTTCATCTATGTATCACCACGAGGCTGTGGGTACCAGTAAAGGTTCTGGGCATCTTTCTCCTTAGGCAGCTACATGGCATCTCTTTGACTCCGCCCTCTCTCTCTCTCTCTCTCTTTATCTCTCTCTCTCTATCTCTATCTCTGCTCTGATTTCCTGCCTGGCTTTACTCTGCTAAGCCATTGGCCCAAAGAGCTTTATTCATCAACCAATAAGCACAACACATATACAGAAGGAAGTCCCACATCAGAGGAGCAGGGCCCGCTTTCCTGAGTACTGCAGCTGGCAAGGGGGAAGGTCATCTCAAACATCTGGTGCAGGCTGTAAGGATTGGGGGTATGGAGAGGGTTAATGGAGGCGTCTCTCTCCCACCACACTGCGGAATGACAGATGAGTAGTGAGGACAGTTCTCCCAAGCTTACAACTTCGGGGCTGGCTCATCCACACCTCCACCAACAGGGATATCCAGCCCTGTGGGACTAAGCAACTACTAGATTCTTGGACTTTCCATTTATAGTTTGCCATTGCTGGATTAGCTGCACTGCAGCCTGAAAGTCACCAATAAATTTCATATATAGATCATGACCACCTAGAATTCCAGCACCAGGGGGAATCCAACACCCTCTTCTGGCCTCTCTGGGTATCTGCATTCATGTACGTATAACACACACACACACACACACACACTAAGTAAATATCTTTTTAAAAAGAAAGGCCAGGTGTGGTAGCATACGCCTTTGATCCCAGCACTTGTAGAGGCAGGTGGAGCTCTGTGAGTCTGAGACCAGGTCAGCCTGGTCTACACAGTGAGAGTCAGACCACCCAGGGCGAGGGGGGGGCAGAAAGAGAGAGAGAGAGAGATTAAGAAAGGGAAAGAAGACGGGCGGTGGTGGCACATGCCTTTAATTCCAGCACTTGAGAGGCAGAGGCAGGTGGATCTCTGTGAGTTCGAGGCCAGCCTGGTCTACAAAGCAAGTTCCAGGACAGGCTCCAAAGCAACACAGAGAAACCCTGTCTCGAAAAACAAAAAAAGAAAGGAAGGAAGGAAGGAAGGAAAAGAAGACAGGTTTTTCCACATCAGTTAACCTAATCAGGATGGCCCCTCACAGACTGCTCAGAGGCCCTTCTTCCAGGCAACCTGCGGTATTGACAATTAACCAATCATCACACAGGACAGGAAGCAAAGAACAAGGAAGACCCATCCTTGGTGACCTGCTTCCTCCAGCTATGTCCCACTTCCCAAAGTGTCCAGAACGTTCCAAGATGGCACCACCAACTAGAAACCAAGCCTTTTGGCCAAGTTCAGATCCTATTGACCTCCATGTGACACTCCCAGATAGTCTGACTCAACATAAAACAAACAAACAAAAAAACAAAAACGTGGCAGTGAAGGGTCTGAGGAAGCCTCAAATAATGCACGCTGGAAAAGACTTTGTGTGCATGCGTGTGTGGTGTGTGTGTGTGTGTGTGTTCACTGTGGAAGCAAAAGAGCAGAGAGCTGAGGCTAAGGAAAGGAGCCAGTGACTGGCTGTTAGGTGCACAGTCTGGGGCCTATTGCACTGGGCTTTAACCAGCGGAGCCCCTGGCACTTGGCAGCTATGGTCATCTTTAGCTTCTAGCAGCAGGGGGTGGGGCGTCTGAGAATCGTCTTGAAGTTTTTTTTTGTTTGTTTGTTTGTTTGTTTGTTTTTTAAATGCCACCATAAGAGCTGGAGAGATGGCCAGCAGTGAAGAACACTTGCTGCTCTTCCATAGGACCTGAGTATGGTTCTTGTAGTTGTTTTGTTTTGTTTTTTAATACACTGAGATTTCGTCTTACTTATGAATGCCCGGCCTTAGCATGGCTTATTTCTTGCCAGATTTTCTAATTTAAATAATCCAATTTCTCTTTAACTACATTTGCCTTTGGACTTTTTTTTTTAAACCTTTCTGTATTCTATACTCTTTCTTTCCTTTTTACTATGTGACTAGCTGTGTGTCTGTGTGGGTATGTGTCTGTGTGGGTATGTGGCTGTGTGGGTATGTGTCTGTGTGGCTGTGTGGCTGTGTGGATGTGTGGTTGGCGCCCTCCTCCCCTTCTCTCTTCTTCTCGTTCTCTTTTAGACTAGATTTCTCCTCCTCTTTATTCTCTCTTCCTGCCCGTCGCATGTCTTTCTCCCTCCTGCCTAGCTACTGACTGTTCAGCTCTTTAGTAGACCGGTCAGGCAAAGTAACACAGCTTCACAGAGTTAAATAAATGCCACATAAAAGAATGCAACACATCTTTGCATCGTTAAACAAATATTCTACAGCATAAACAAATATAACACATCTTAAGCTAATATTCCACAATAGGTTCCTAGTAGCCACCCCTGGCCCCCAACAACTGCCTGCAACTCCAGTTCCAGACGATCCAACGCCCTCTTCTGGCCTCTTTAGGCACTTGCACACATGTGGTGCATATACATACACTCAGGCACACATAATACCAATAAATTACAAATAAATAAATAAATAAATTACAATAAATAACAAATCTTAAAAACAAAGCAGAACACAAGTACCAGTCACTGGAGGCGCTTCAGGGGTTTGTCATGCCTGAAGAGCCAAGGTCCGAGATTCTGATTCCCAGGCAGGAGGGAGGATAGAGTAGGGAGCAGGATGTGTGGCTACCCACAGCCACTCCTGGCGAAGGGATCCTGGCAGCTGAAGTGTATTATCTAGGGACTCACAATGTCTCTGCAGGGTGCCTGTCAGGGGTGGTGGGTGTGCACCGCTGCAGGTATTCAGTCTCCAGCAGCTGGATTCTAACACATCCCTATAATTAGCTCTTCGAAGAGTTGAGGGCCCCCAAACTTCAAGACGATTCTCAGACGCCCCACCCCCTGCCGCTAGAAGCCAAAGATGACCATAGCTGCCAAGTGCTGGGGGCTCTGCTGGTTAAAGCCCAGTGCAGTAGGCCCCAGACTGTGAACCTAACAGCCATTCACTGGCTCCTAAAGCCTGGAGCTACAGGCCCCTAGTTTTCACAACTTAAGTTCTGGGTCTATCAGCACCAAAAGAACTTCTCCTCCAACCCACAATTCCTGTCGACGGGTAGAACAAAAGAGCCCCAGCCAGAAAACTAGCTATGACAGCTTTAAGTAGTTTATATAAAATCCTCTAAAGGTAGCTTCAGGTCTCTTAGTTATTGTAGGAAGCTGCCTGTTAGCCAAAGGCCTGTGATCTTATCTCCACGCAAGATCTGTTTGTTGTGGCGAGGGAAATGGCTTAGTTGGTAACCGGCTTGTCATGCGAGCATGAAGACCTGAGTCTGGACGCCCAGAGTCCAGGTAAAGAGCTGTGCATGGTGGGGCAGGCATTTGTAACTCCAGTGCTGGAGAGGCAGAGGTGGGGGTGGGGTTCCTGGGGCTCACTGGTCAGGCAGACGATTTGGTGAGCTCCAGGTTGGAGGGTTAATTACTGAAAAGCCTCAGCTGGACAGGAAAGTTGACTTGCCTGATAAGGAGCTGATCCACATATCAAACCCACTAGTATCTACCGCTTTGACACTATAGGGAACTGACCTGCAGATGGAACCCTCTATCCGCTAAGGGCTCCTCCCTTCCCATCCATGCGATTCACACAGTCCCACTCCCGAGAAGAGACTGTGTTCAGCTGTTCTGGTTAAAGAACACATAGGCTTCTGGAGATGCCTGTCGCTGCTATCAAACACAGGTTCAGTGAGAGCATCTGTCTCAAAAAAAAAAAAAAACAAAAAACAAAAAAAAAAAAAAACAAAAAACAAAAAACAAAAAAACAGGACAGACGGAGAGCCCGGGATGGTGATGTATGCCCCTAATCCCAGCACTGGGGAAGCAGAGGCAGGCGGATCTGTGAGTTGGGAGCCAGCCTCATGTACATAGGGCATTCCAGGTCGAACAGGACTTCATAATGGGACCATCTTAAAAACAAAAAGGACTGAAGAGGAAACCCAAGTCGAACCTCTAGATTCCACAGGCACTCACACACGTATGCACCACACACACACACATACACCCTAATTTAAAATAAGAATAAATCATTTTTATTACATTTTATTTATTTTGTGTGTGTGCACACCACAAGGTGCATGTATGGAGATCAGAGAATAACTTACAGCCGTCAGCTCTCGCCTTTGACCATATATGGCTCCCGGGTATCGAACTCAGGTGATCAGGCTTGGCGGCAAGCACCTGTACCCGACGAACCATTTTGTGGGTCTGTAAAAATAATCTTCTAAAAATCTGATAGATGGACAGACTCTTTCCAGCATCCGGTCGCGCCCCGCCCTCCTCGCGTCGCCCCGCCCCCTCGTGGGACAGCGTGCGCTCACTGGCCAGTGCGGTCCTCTCGCTCCACCCTTGACCCCGCCTCCCTGCGGAGGACAGCTGCTGCGCAGACGCAATGACTTCCTCTTGCCAATGGAGGGGCTCCCGGTCCTCCAGATCACCGAGCCGGCTTTCTAGAGCAGCCCCTGTAGAGGCGCCACCCGGAAGTTCAGGCTCCCAGAGGGTACCCAAGCGTGCTTTCGGTAAAGCTCGCCCTCCTCCTTCTACTCTGAGGCTGGCCTCAGGTGGCTGTCATTTGACAGGAAAGATGAATGAGGCGCAGTGGCTGTCGCATGAAGGGTCGCAGGGCTGCGTGGTAAGGGATGAACCCCCAAAGAGCCTGTGGAGAACATCCTGGACCTAGCCCTGGCTCTAGTTGGTAGATCGCTACGAATTTTTATCCAAAGGAGGCTATCATGAGATCATCCTCGGGTGCAGGGTACATGGATGCCCAGAGATGAAGCAGCAAGGGTAAGTGGGGTCGATGCTGAGGGTTGAGACATTCAAACACTATCTTTTATTTTTTTGAAGCAAGGTCTTGCTATGTAGCCCAGGCCAGCCTGGAACTCAGGAATCCCCCTGCCTCAGCCTCCCAAGTGCTAGGGCCATAGGAATGCACCACCACCACTCTCGGCTGTATACGATATTTCAATAAGGACATCAGCGCCTCTATTTTGGCCAAGAATGCAGCTAGTGCCAGACTGGGTTGGACTGTGTTGACGGTCTGGAAGCAGGAACTACCTGATTATATAAGTATTAGCTATTCCGGCGCTTCCACTACAGTGTAGCTTCCATGAGAACAAGGGTTCTCTTTTTCTACCTAGCATTGAGAAGAATGCCTGGCACATAGTAGCTGCTTAATAAATACTGTGGGTGGTTTCACTCTAGATGATACATCTTCAGTTACCGCATTGCGAGAGCAACTGAGAAGTAGAAGAAAGGTAACTGAAGGTTGGAAGATATCAAAAGTGGCGTCCTGGTCAGGAGGAGTTGCTGAGCACTCCTGAACTGAGCATCCTGAACTGACCCCTGGCACAGGCTCCGATGAGGTCAAGAGAGGGGCCCAGAGCCCAGAATCCGGACCACAGCTAAATTTAGTCTCACCGACCTTCGGTGTCCCTGTCCTTTGTGCCCACACCCATGCCAGTGTTGGAAAATATTTTCGTTTTCTTTGAATATTACCATCTACAGGTCCAAAGCCAATATGTTTGTGTTGTTTAAGCCGTCTGTAGCATCATTTAATCATTTAATAAGAGCGTTCGCTATGGTTTCCCTCTCGGACGATGCAAGATGAGTGTCTTTGTGCCTGCCTGTCCTTTTCTTCCCCTTTCACTGAACATTTTCCCAGAGAGTATATTACTTAACCAAATTATATTGTGTCTTACTGCTTCTTAGGTTACTTCCTGTGTATTAGCTTTCTAGAAAGTTAATAGTGAAGATGGGCATTCCTATAAATAGAAATAAGGCTTCAAAGCTGACCTGGGCTTTTGGGACCTTGCCTTCCATATATATATGTATACGTGTGTGTGTGTGTGTGTGTGTGTGTGTACACATGCACTTGTGTGTCTTTACATATAAGTGGGAGGCAGGTGAAATGTCTCTGTTCATAAAGGCACTTGTCAAGGCTGATGACCTCTGTTTAATCTCCAGCACCCACATAAAAGCCGTATTGATTGTGCACATCTGTAATCCTAGTGCTGGGGGTGGGGACAGGTAGATCCAGGGCAAAGTAGCCAGTCTATTGGGTGCACTCTGGGTTCAGTGAGAGAGACCCAGTCTAGTAAGATAAGGTTGAGGGGCAGTAGTGGAAGAGATTGGATGTCAGCTTCTGGCCTCCCCATGCACACACACACACACACACACACACACACACACACACACCCTCTCTCTCTAATAATAATAATAATTTTTAAAAGTTAATAATGAGGGGGTGGAGTTGGCTCATAGGTTAAGAGCGCTTGTTGCTCTTGCAGAAGACCCAAGTTCAATTCCCAGCACCCACATGGTGATTCACAACCATCCATAATTTAAGTTCCAGGTTGTCCAACACCGTCTTCTGACCTCTGAGGGCAACAGGCCTGTGTGTGATACACGTATATACATTCATGCAAAACACCCATACACATAAAATGAAAAACAATTGTTCCTAAAGTTGCTAATGACAAGAATCTGCTTCCTCAATAATTACGGCTTGAGTGTCTACTGGTGTTAGGCACTGAACTGGGCTCGGGAAGAGCAGACAGATGTAGATCCTGCCCTCGGGTACCTGCCAGCCTAAGGCAGGAGGCCAGGACTCAGTCCATTGTCAACACAAGTGGCCGATGACACACTGAAAAACAGCACACAGCAAACAGAGCCACTAGCAATTAGAATGAAATCAGATTTTCAGTTTCAGGAGAATGGGAGCAATGGTGCTGGGGAATAATTTTAGTACTGCGCCCCCTTAAAAACCGGTTCTTCGCGATTGCTTCGCCTGGGTTGGGTTCTGAATTAACCTGCACTGTGACCTCCTACTTCCCCTCTAGTTGGGGACAGTGAACAAGCACTTCCAAACTTAGGGACCAACGAGATGGCTCAGCAGTGTGCTGGGAACAGGGAACTGCAGTTGGGATAATGGCTCCATCAGATTGGCATGTGGGCAAGTCTGTGGGACATTTTCTTGAATTTCAATGGAGGAGGGCCCAGCCCAGTGTGGACGGCACCACCCCTGGGCTGGTGGTCCTGGGTTCTATAAGAAAGCAGGCTGAATGAGCCATGAGGGGCAAGCGAGTAGGCAGCACAGCTCCATGGCCTCTGCCTCTAGGTCCCTGCCCTGCTCTCCCCCAGTAATGGATGATGTTCGGGATGTAAACCAGACAAACCCTTTCCTCCCTAAATTGCTTTTGGTCACGGTCTGTAGCAGCAATAAAATGTAACTTGGAGGAGCGCATGCGCGAGTAAAGTGCTTGCCACCAAGCCTGACAACTTGAATTTGATCCCCGAGACCACGTGGTGGAAGGAGAGAACTGAGTCCTCTTGCAGGTTTTCCTCCAACCTCCACATGGACATCATGGCATGCACATTAGACTCACACGTGAGAATGATAACTTTCTAGAGCCTTTTTTCTTATGTCTCAGAGGCCTATCCCAAGAAGGAGTTGAATGGGTGTCCATCAGGTCTGCCAAGACAGAAACATTTGTCAACCCGGTCTCCTCTCACAGTTTCACCATCTCCCTCTAGTCAGATTTCCTGAAGTCCTTGTGTGTTTCTGTTCAGTGCTAGGGATAGAACCCAGGCAGCTGCAAATGCTCTACCACTGAGCCACACCCCAGCCCCTCACTGGGGATTCTAGGC